GCTAGGAGTTGAGTAAAATTTATGGAAAGAGACATCTTCAAACCTACTATGGGAATAATACAATCTTTGCATGGTTGTATTAGATTTTTTTCCTTTCACGATTAAACCTCACCCAATTATTATACTGACAATTTTGTGTTTGTCCTTTTTCTTAGTCGTTATTTTTCATCTAAATTAAATTAGAAGAAATTTGTATTGTTCATTTGTCTAACGTAAGGCCATAGACTTGCCTCCATTATTATGATGCAGAAAGGCAGAATAGTTCAACCTGGGCAGAGAAGGACTTTTGTACTTAGAAGTGGAACGTTCTTATACACTACTGCATAGCTCATCGTCTCCTGTTTGCAGCTGTTATACCAGGGCATTCTCATCTGCTGCAAGAGACATAGCTGAGAGAAATCAGATGAGCAGCTGTTCTATGAAGCATGCCCTCCTCTTAGGGCAACAGAACTTACAATTCAAAATAAAGCCTCAGAAGTTACTGCTGTCCTCATTAAATCCTTCTCTGTGGCTTTTAGATACTGCCAGGGTAATATTGGGGAAAAAGCCAGCCAATGGCAGTATGCCAAGTTGCTTAGATGTACTGCAGCTACTGTGAGCGTCCTAAATGGGAGCATCAAGTAGACAAGATTTTTGTCATGTATTTAGTGATTATTCCCATGGGCTTCACTTGCTCTGTGTGTTTGGAGGTCTTGCCTGCTCCTCAGTCCCAGCTCTGAGAAGATAAAATGGTAGGTGGGTGATAGGACTTTTATGTTACATGTAGGGTTGCCAGGTATCCATTTTTTTGACCAGGATGCCTGGTTAAGCATGGGGGAGGCAGGTGGGGCATTGCCCTCTTGAAACTGCAAGCCGTGGACAGGCACCGAATTTGCTACCCTTCCTGTGTGGCTCAGTTGCCCTTTCTTCCCCACTCCCCCCTCCCCTCCCCCCCCACATACACACAGTATAGAAGTCAGACTCCTCATATGATCGCAAATGTAAAAGAGAACGGTAAATGAAACCACTAACATACTTAAACTTACGCTTGGCTTTAAGTGTTTGCTAGATTGCTGCTGTGTGCTCAGCACCTTGCAGAATCAAGCCCAAATAGTGGATATTTTATTCTGAATTTCTGGCCCATTCTCAGGGCTCAATAGGCCATTTGTCAATGTTATGGACGTAATTGACTAATTCCTGGTACAATCTCCATACAGTTATGTGGAATTCAATAGGGTTACTTTGGGATGTAAGCCAGCATGGAATTCTGTTAAGAGTGTTCACATTTTAATATGGTCGATGTCTGGGAAATCTTGACCTGTAATTCTGCTGTTGAGAATTCGAAAAATCACCACTATCATTAATCTTAGCTCTTGCTGAAGCCATGTAAATACTGGTTTTTTCAGTGGGGTGAGGACAAGATTGATAGCAGCCACTATATTAATTGTAATGAGTCAAGATCAAAGCAAAGTTATTCAACTTTAAATTGAGAGTTAATATTATCTATGCGGATTAAATTAGTGAGTGTTGTAATACCACCTACTATTTTGTTTGCTCTGTTTCCCCAGCTTCCATGTGATGCCAATCATTTTGATATTTAGAATGCAGATTTCCCTAAGCTGTTAGTGTTTCATTTGTTCATTGTCTTGTTGTCAACTGTATGGTTTCTCAATATGATTTTGTTCTTTTACAGATGATACGTTAAAAGTTTAGAGGAAAAACCTGAGATTTGTTTCTAAGATCTGTTGCTGAACTGAGAAGAGAAAAAAGCAGAATGGAGAACTTCTGAAGATTTTTATTAGAGAACAAAAGTCAACTGGAAACATATAAGGTGGACTTAAAGGAGTAAGGAATTTTACAAGGCATCCAGAAATTAATAATTCCTTGGTTTGGCTCAAAGTCGTGGGACAATGGATACCATTGAGACTGCAAAGCTTGAAGAGCACATGGAAGGTCAGAACAATGACACTTCAAATGGTTATGTTCGACCCACCTTATCAGTCAATGAAGATAGCAAAAATGGCAACAGCAAACCAAAGGGTTTACCGAATGGTTTGCGGAAAGGCACAAAGAAATATCCAGATTATGTTCAGATTTCTATGCCTGCTGAATCTAGGAACAAATTTCCTTTGGAATGGTGGAAAACAGGCATTGCCTTTGTATATGCGCTCTTCAATTTAATTCTAACGACTGTCATGATCACAGTGGTTCATGAGAGGGTACCTCCCAAGGAGCTCAGTCCTCCATTGCCAGATAAGTTCTTTGATTATATTGATCGTGTGAAATGGGCTTTTTCTGTATCAGAAATAAATGGAATGATACTAGTTGGATTATGGCTAACCCAGTGGCTATTTCTCAGATACAAGTAAGTAGTTACATTTATCTCTGTTTGTTTCTACTTAGTAACAGAATTTGCTTCTGCCTTCCTTACATTGAATAGCACATTTTCCATGAGTAGTTACACTTCCCAAAATGAGTACAGGTAAAGAATGTTGAAACAGAATGTTTAAAGGAATCTTGGATCTAGACTCTGCATCCATGAGTGAGAGTGCAGTGGGCTTGAAACCCACAATTGTTTCATGAAAAAAGAAAAGGGGGGGTTCAATGTTTTGTTTTTATTCTTATGCAGAATAAAACAAGACCTCTTCAGAGAGCAGGGGCCTGAACTTTGATCTATCACATCACCACAGAACAATTCAACTACCAAGTGATTGGCTATTCTGCTTTCTGGCTAGAAATTCCATTGTGTACTTCAGACCTTATAGATAACTTTTTTTTTTATTCAAGTGATATCATTCTGCAAAACACTTCTGTTTTGACTAAACTGTGTCTTTGACAGAAAGTGCTGAGAGAATTTAGTGCCCTAAATAGAGCTGAATAAAACATTTTTCCATGAAATGTTTTTAAAGTTTGACAACACACTAGACAGTTCACTAGCATTAGATGTGGACGCTCAAGCTAGTCACAGCTCTGAGAACGCCAACTCATCTTTTTTTCCAGCCCATCTCTTCTGTTTCTTGGAGAGAAAAATCTCTACAGAAACTTGAAAGGAAAACAGACTTTATTTGACATGGGATTGAAAATGAAAGAAATTACAAAATTCCCAAGCAAAATAAAACCAGCTATCCAAACACCTGTGCTATTAAATAGGCCTGAATTTACTTCTGGTCTAGTGGTAAACAAAACTAAACCATTACTTGTGCAGCAATTTCTTTTTCTTCTCTCAACTAGAGCATATTCAGGTCTCAATTTCTGACAGCTTCTCTCACTAAGCCTATGAGAGACAATCCAGAAAGATGTGTCCATACATCAAATATTTTGTGTCTCTCAAATCTCCTATGGAAGCAGTTCTGTTGAACTTTGTTTTCATATTGGTTGGATCAAAGTTAAAAACTGTAACTTAAAATTTAGGCTGTTAATTGTTTAATGAGGCTTAAGCTAAGCCAGTGGCACTGAAGGCCTCTCACTTCTTGACAAGTAAATGTATCTTGTCTTTCATTTTATGCTTAAAAAAACCTTTCTTCCTTCTCCCTCTGTCCTTGTTTTCAGGTCGATAGTGGGGCGCAGGTTCTTTTTTATAATGGGAACTTTGTACCTGTACCGCTGTATTACCATGTATGTTACCACTCTACCTGTCCCTGGAATGCATTTTCAGTGTGCTCCAAAGGTAAGAAATCTTGGTGTTGGCCAAAATATTATACCAAATACAGTGTCTGAAAAAGACATATTGGGATATTCATTTATTTTAATAAGATTAATATTTCTCCACATATTATATGATAGTCTTCAGAGAGAAGTGTGGCATATCTAAATATGAAGAGAACTGCTAGGTTTTTGACATTTTAGTTTGGTACGTTGCTGTTAGTAAGGCAGGATTTTGTGAACACTAAGCATCTTTTAGGAGGAGAGTGCCCAAGAATAGTACTGCAGCAGATTGTCCATTTCATTCTTGGTTTTATGAACATATAGATTCACCAGGTTTATTCCAGTTTGGACTATATTTAAGTCAGACATCTAGATTTTTTTTATCTGAAACCTGCATAATATACTGACTATGCTTTGTCAACTGAAAGACAAACCAGCTGCTTGCAGGACAAGCCAGCAAAGCCTTGCATTGCAGCTAGATTTTTGAGGCAAATCTTGTCAGCATGTTTGCCGGTGATCGTGTTTTGGCCAGGGCTGTCTGGGGCTTTTAAATCCAGTCTAGGCAGGTGACGCTTGTGGCAAAAGGTACGTAAACATAGCAAAAACAAATTCTCAAAAGCAAATATTTGTGGAAATTTGATTATTTGTCGGTGGTACAGTAGAACTAAATGATAAAGTACTCTAAACGTTAGAGCAAATGTGAGTGGTGAACTGCCTCATGTTTCTGTTACCGTAACTCCAGGTCACTAAGCTAAGATTCAATAGCATCTTTCAAACGATTGTGTTGATTTTTGGAAGTTTTTCTAATACTACTCCCGCAGCACTCAGTAGAACTTGTATCTTAAATTTCACATTTTCTGATTTATTTTTTAATGTCAATATTCATTCCATTCCTGAATTGCTGGGATTAAAATTGGACATATGGCAACTGAAGACCAAATGTATCCTACCATCTGTCACAGAAAAATATTAGAGCCACTCAGGAGACTGCTTTGGAGGAACACAATTTTTCACTAGCAATTCAGTTAGATGAATTTTTCAGAGCTACTCTAATGATGGGGGCTGAGAGAGGCATATTCATTCTTGATGTATTTGCTTTGTCTTAATTAGAATTAAACCAGGAATTAACTTGGTTAAGGAATATATATTGAAATGACTCTGGCACACTCAAGAGCTGTGCAAAAATCGGTTGGTTGGTTTTGCAGCATGTGAATTATTTTCTTAAGTTTTTGATTTTTGGTGAATTCATGTCTCTCTTCCTCCTCCCCTTTCCACATAACCAAGCACGCAAGAAGTTAATCTTGGTGAAAAGTGATAGGAAAGTGACAGTGTGCACAGTATCCGTAAGAAGTTTCAAATAAATTTGGGATGATTTATAAAGTCTACAAACATGTCAGCAAACCTAGGCTGACTTCTGACTATTTACGTCCCAAATATCACATGGCTTGAAGTCTTGATTTGTGACCATTTTGCTTCACTCTGGACAAAGAATGAATGATTTGCATATATTGCTTTGCAGGGTTGTTTTCTAGTAAACCATGCTGTTGTCTTTGAAAAATATATAGACAAAGAAGATTCAGATGTTTAGTAGATAGAGCTTTTTATTTATTTATTTTTAAGCTCAGGTTTATTTGGCATAAACTTTTTGATCAAACATATATTCATTATCTTGATTTTTGTTTCTCATTTTCCAGTTGAATGGAGATTCTCAGGCTAAAGTACAGAGGATCCTACGATTGATTTCTGGTGGTGGTCTGTCTATAACTGGATCTCACATCCTGTGTGGAGACTTCCTATTTAGCGGTCATACAGTAGTTCTAACGCTCACCTACCTGTTTATCAAGGAATGTAAGTTACAATATTTAAATGCAGTTGCATTGCTGATGCTTGTGTTATAAGAGGAGTACTTAAACTAAAACCACTTTGTTGCATTTGTACTTGTTTTAGTTTTTACAACATAAAATAAATTGAAAAACTTTATTCCAAAGTTTGACAAAATTCACTTGTTCCTCCCAGTGGGTGGCTTCTAGAGTGGGTCTGCCATGGTTGTATGTGGTATGTATACTATCCTAGGATGTGTGTGGAGCATCAGAGCTTTTAGCAGACATCTGTGCATTTTTGGAAGACTGATGATGCAAGAGGGGGATAATGAAGGTAAGACTGAAAAAGGGGCTATATCAGCTAGGTGAACAAAGTGAAGGCAAAAGACCACGTTGGCTTAATCGGGAGATCTTGCATGATCTAAAAATCAAAAAGGACTCCTATAAAAAGTGGAGACTAGATCAAATTACAAAGGATGAATATAAGGCAACAACACATGTATGCAGGAGGCAAGATTAGAAAAGCAAAGACACAAGCTAATCTAGGCAAATACAACTTACATGGGGCTACTATCAGGTAGGTGCATAACTAGCTGGATAACAATTTTCAGACTAGTTATTAATGGTTCACAGCCATGTTGGAAGGAATAACAATTGAGGTTCTACAGGGGTCTGTTTTGGGTCCGGTTCAATTCAATATCTTCATCAATGATTTAGATGCTGGCATATAGAGTACACTTATTAAGTTTGCACAGGATACCAAACTGGGAGGGGTTACAAATCATAGAATAATAGGACTGGAAGGGACCTCGAGAGGTCATCGAGTCCAGCCCCCCGCAGTCAAGGCAGGATCAAGCTCCGTCTACACCATCCCTGACAGATGTCTATCTAACCTGTTCTTAAATATCTCCAGAGAGGGAGATTCCACCACCTCCCTTGGCAATTTATTCCAATATTTGACCACCCTGACAGTTAGGAATTTTTTCCTAATGTCCAATCTAAACCTCCCCTGCTGCACTTTAAGCCCATTACTCCTTGTCCTGTCCTCAGAAACCAAGAGGAACAAATTTTCTCCTTCCTCCTTGTGACACCAGTGCTTTGGAGTATAGGGTTATAATAAATAGGAACAAACAATCTGTTTCACACATACAGAATGGGAAGTGACTGTCTAGGAAGGAGTACTGCAGAAAGGAATCTAGGGGTTATAGTGGAGCACAACTAAATGAGTAAACTGTGACATTATTGCAAAAAAAGCAAACAAGATTCTGGGATGCATTAACAGGAGAGACATGAGACGTCATTCCTCCACTCCACTCTGTACTGATTAGGCCTAATTTGGAGTATTGTGTCCAGTTCTGGACACCGCATTTCAAGAAAGATGTGGACAAATTGGAGAAGGTCTAGAGAAGAGCAACAAAAATGATTCAAGGTCTAGAAAACATGAGCTATGAGGTAAGGCTAAAGGAATTGGGCTTGTTTAGTTTGGAAAGGAGAAGACTAAAAGGGGACAGGATAGCAGTTTTCAGGTGTCTAAAAGAGTGTCACAGGGAAAACGGGGGGGAAATTGTTCTCTTTGGCATCGGATAGGACAGGAAGCAATGGGGTTAAACTACAGCAAAGGGGGTTTAGGTTGGATATTAGGAATAACTTCCTGTCAGGGTGGTTTAAAAACTAGAATATATTCCCTAGGGAGGTTGTGAAATCTCCATCACTGGAGATATTTAAGAGCAGGTTAGACAGACACCTGTCAGGGATGTGATAGACCTTGCTTGGTCCTACCATGAGGGCAGGAGGCTGAACTTGATGATGATCTCTTGAGGTCCCTTTCCGTTCTAGTATTCTGTGATTATTGTCTTAGAATCATGGAGTACTAGAACTGGAAGGAACCTTGAAAGGTCATCAAGTCAAGTCCCTTGCACTCCTGGCAAGACCAAGCACCATTTAGACTATCCTTGAGAGGTGTTTGTCTACAGTGTAAGGATGTTAAATTGCAGTTAATTGGCTAGTCGAGTAGTTGATGGAATTTCCATTGATTACTCGACTAGTGGATAGATACTTCCGCATTCCTCAACTGACCCCAGGCTCCACGGCACTGCCCCTTTGAATGCCGCTGCATAGCTGATCCCAGGCTCAGCTGTGCAGCGCTGCCCTTTTGAAACACCAAGGCGGTGTTTTTAAGGGGCAGCCCCATGGAGCCCGGGGTCATGTAGGGACTCCCCAGCTGATCCCCGGCTCAGCTGTGTGGCACTGCTGCTTTGAAGTACCCCTTCCTCCCCCTGCCCTGCACTTTTGCTGCCACTATCTGACAGACAGCAAGAGTGGGGTGGGGGAGTGACTAGTTGACTGATATCTCATAAGTATTTGCTTGTTGGATAGTCAACTAGTCCTTAACATCCTTACTATTGTAGGGTCTTAAATATCTAATGATGGAGATTTCACAATCTCCCTATGCAATTTATTCTAGTGTTTTACCACCCTGACAAGAAGCTTTTTTCCTAATGTCCAATCTGAACCTCCCTTGCTGCAATTGAATCCCATTGTTTCTTGTCCTGTCAACGGAGAATAATTCTTCTCCATCCTCCTTGTAACAACCTTTTAGGCTTTAAACAATCTGATATATAATATCGTAATCCCCTTTGGGAGGGGATTATGTAACCGCCTTTAGGATCTTATCACTTCTGTTTGAGATATTCAGCAAATTAATACTTGAGTCTTTTATGAGAAAGAGAGAAAGAGAGAGGACTCCCCTTTCTGCAATGGGAGTCGCACCTGCTTATCCCATTGCTGAATATGGTGCTCAGTTTTGGCTTTCACAATGGAGGATACTTTCCTGAGAGGCTGGATTTTTTGACAGACCATTGTAAAATGAGGTTATTAGAAAGTAAGCTTGAGTGGCTTCTGGAGACTCACAGTATGAGTTTCAAGATGATGTAATTGAGGGCTAGACTCTAAGGCTATGCTGTAATACTCAGCGTGAACCTTAATAATTTTGGCTATTTGTTTGGACCAGGAGTGTGCAGATTCCGGCTTGTGGGCCAGATCCGGTCTGCAGAGTTAGTGCCTGAAGGACTCCCACCTTGATGTTTACTTGTGCCTCCACAGGTATTGGAGAATCACAGCTCTGGAGCAGCGGGAATCAGCATTCTGGTCCACGATGCTTCCCGCCACTCTCATTGGCCACAAATGGTAATTCACAGCCAACCAGAGCCTGTGCTCACCTGTGGAGGCTAGGTGAACATAGCAGTGGTGGCCCACCAGGGACTAATACTACAGCCTGCCATTTTTTTGTATTGCCTATCTCTGGTTTGAACACATACCAGTGCAGTAGCATTTCCTTTTCAAATCATGGCATGGCACGTCTAAAATTACGGTATGTCTTCACTATGCAATCTTAATTAACAAGATTGCGTTGGCACAAACTTGTCACTAAAAGTAAGTGTGTGTGTGTGTGTGTGTGTGTACACACTGTTGGCCATTTTATTGACAAAAAATACTTCTGCATCCAAAGAGTAAGTTTC